AGCTGTAACGGTACTCAAGTTATCGTGTTTACACACGGACAGACAGACAGAAACACAGACAGACACACAGACATACGGACAAGATTGCAAAATTATGTTTTTCCGTACCCGTGAGGTGTAAAACGTCGAGATTTGTAAAAATCTCGATTTTTTTTTTTTTGCACGAAAGTCTTGTAATTTACAAGACTTTCTCTATACTTCGTATATACGAGAAAGTAAAAAACCAAGCACTGACATTTTGAGATTTTGCGACATTTTGCTTGATGAATAGATCTGAATGATTTTTAATTATTATATTAATGTTTTAAATGGAATATTTTTGTGAGCCTGATATCTTTAGAAATTCGGCTCTAAAATGTATCAAGCTCTCGCCATATACACCTACACTGCCCATTAAACTCCAGAAGAAGCTCTGATTAAGATGTACAGACGCGACACTTGTGGTGCTGACAATAGGAGAGGCCGCCCGCTCTTGAAGGTGCTCGAACCCGCGCTTTATAAAAATAACTATTAACGTTAAGATGTTAGATGACATTTATATAAAGCAAAAGATTGTTTTGTCATATTAAAACTGACATTTGACAATAAAGAGCTTTTTTTTTTTAGACTACACAGTCAACATGGGCGTTCAAGTCCAAGACAAAAAAAAACTCGTTTTCTCAAAAGATGCACAACTTTGCTAAATTTGTCAACGGTTTCGCTAAATACAGCACATTATTTACGGCACCATACAAAGTGCAATAGCCTGCTGATACTCTATCGGCGGCCTGCTAGATTTGTCGGATCTGGGCCGCATTCAATGGCCGATTCCTAATGCGGACTCAAATTGCTAATTGACATTAAAATTATACCCATACAAAGTTCACGTCGTACAGATATGTACAATGACGTACCGAGAGAACGTGCCATCCAGGGCAGTCATCCAAAGTGCTTGTTGTCTTTCTTTTGACAAAATCGCCAAGTTTGTTAGTATTGCATGGCTTATGGTACACCTCAAATACGATGTGATCAATTTAGGTTTTGAAAAACTCCTTTCGCAGCTATTGAAAACTGACGCTCATTGTTAAAAATATGCGGAGTGCTATGGTTAGGTAGGAAGGACACTCAGCAAATTCCCAATTGTCAGTGATTTCTTCAAACTTTGAATATGACAACGAAAACTTCGGATTCTGTACAACAGATTATCTGAACTCATTTCGTCTTAGAGTTCTGAGAGATTCTTGCAGGCTGCGAGGATGTCGTTGTTTGCAGAATTTATTTTAAAAAGTCAAAATCCACTATAATCGTATTTCTTTCTTGCTCAAAATATTTACTGAGAACCTTCATTTTTTGCTGCGCAGCTATCAAGTCCTAAACTCTTTGACTGTCGAAGCTTTTGCGTATGGTCAATTTCTTTTAATATGGGGCCAGAGGCGTAGCGACTCTTCTCGGCGCCCGGGGACAAACTTTCAATTTGGCGCCCCCCCCCCCCCCATATATTTTTTTTATATTTATAATGCAAAACTGCAGCTAAAATGAAATTTTAATTTGCTTTTACAACCCAGTTTGGTTCCCCCTAAGGTCGGCGCCCGGGGACATATGCACCCCACTCACTACGACTCTGTATGGGGCTCCATAAATATAGGCCTAGATATTATTATGATATAAGTAAGACATAAGATTAAGAATCGTCACAGCATCACGTCGGGTTTTAACTGTTTCTGAATCACCATCTCTAAGCTCTTCAAGTGCATCAATAATTATTACGGTTAAGTGTATCTAAATGCAAGGCCACAGCTCAGTGGCGGAACTAGAAATCAACCGGGAGTGATCTCCCCGAAACTTTCTCGAATATTCTTAATCTTATATAACACTACGGGGGATGGCAGCTCGGGGTATATAAATCCATTTTTAATTCATTTTTAATTACTTAAACTTTTTAAAATAAAATAGAATCGCGTAGAAAAAAAGAATTGCGCACCATGTGAACGCCAAACAAAATGTGTATAATGGTGTGGAATAATATTAGTACTTTATAAATTCACATGCGTTTTTTTGAGAAATCGGAAATAGCATTAATTACTACTTCAGGTCAACGGAAATCACTCAAAATTTGACAGAAGGCAGAGAATTAGATCTTTTATTTACATGTGACATTTCATATATCTTTCTTAAATAGTACTCAATTTTTAGGCTTTTGAAAAATTGAAAGTAGAAAAAGTTCCATTTCCGGCTATCGGAAATCACTGAAAAGTTGATAGAGATCTACACATTTGATATAATACTTACGGACATACGGACAAGATTGCAAAACTATGTTTTTTCCGACTCAAGGAGGTGTAGAACAACGAGATTTGCAAAACCTCGATTTTTTCCCCTTACGATTACAATACTTTCTCTATAAGGGAGTCTAAAATCCGAAATTTTTGTGGAAGTCATAGATAGATCACCCCTATTCAAATGTTGAAAAAAAATCCTTTTTACAAGCTTTTATTTAACTCACTTCCTCTGTCTGTCGTCAGTCTAGATCGAAACGCAGGAGCGAAAATAAATTTAAATAGAACGTGATGACGCGTGTGGTGTGGTTGGATAGACATGCCTACTAATTCGTTCCAATATTTAATTAATTCATAAAAAATTAATTAGGCATCCAATTAAGTCAAATTTTGTTTCAGATTGCATTGTCTTCATGTCTTGACCCACGTGCCAACTGTGAATCGTATCGGTCAAGTAGAACTGTCCGAATTTTCACTCCTGCGTTTCTATCTAGACAGACTGACGACTGACGAGGAAGTGAGTTAAATAAAAGCTTGTAATAAAACATGTAAAGTACTGACACAAAATTTCATTAAAAAACGTTTTAATAACAAGCTTTTATGTAACAATTCACTAAAAAGTAGAAAATAAATTATAGACTACTATTTAAATAACTAGAAAGAAAAGCGTGTGTGTCTTCCTAAACATTAGTGTAGGTATCCAATCCTAATATATAATTCCCCATGTGCGCACTTCTCTCTGACCGCAAAATATTTTCGCCGGACATCACGTCAGAATCGGCAGCGATATATGAAGAACTTTTTACAAACTTTTATTGAAAAAAATATGTTAGATGTTTTAAATGTATAACCACAAAATTATTTAAAGAAGAAAAATAAAAAATAAATGCGTATTCGAATGTAGAGAAACAGTATTATTTATGCAACCGGAAAAGTGTATAAACTTGAGACAAGAACGCATTTAACAATAACGTCGCTTATTGTTTACACTAAAAAAAGAGCACGAAACTGATGACGTCATCTTCCGAGTTTAGAATAAAAAGAAATTAACTATTTCATTCAAATATGATTTAGAGCTATGTACGCTATGTTATGTATACAATACGATTTTCTCGGCCTAAACTTAAAAAAAAATATTTTATCTATTTGGATTCTAGATCTAGAGATTCTAGATCTAGATATTGATCTCGATCTAGATATTCTAGATCATCTAGATCTAGAGATTCTAGATCTAGATCTAGATGATCTATAAAGCTAAGTTGTCGGGTGCCCGATAGGGCACTTCCCGGCGCCGCAGGCGCTTCAAATTTGGCAGGATCTTGCCTTGGGGCGACAGAACACGGGGGCCGGTTGGCCAAAAAGTCTACGATGAGGGGGTCAAAACTGACCTCGACTGACCAGCGCCTTATATGGGCGAATTAATTAAGCATTCAAATTCTCAATGTTTTCGAAAGCCTAAGCGAAGCTGGGCAGCATGCCTAGTAGATACTATAGTGACCCACGCTTTTCTTTCTAGTTATTTAAATAGTAGTCTATAATTTATTTTCTACTTTTTAGTGCATTGTTACATAAAAGCTTGTTATTAAAACGTTTTTTTATGACATTTTTTTTAATGAATTTTTTTTCTTACAAGCTTTTATTTAACTCACTTCCTCTGTCTGTCTGTCTGTCTGTCTAGATCGAAACGCCGGAGAGAAAATTCGGACAGTTCTACTTGACCGATACGATGCACAGTTGGCACGTGGGTCAAGACACGAAGACAATGCAATCTGAAACAAAATTTGACTTAATTGGATGCCTAATTTATTTTTTATGAATTAATTAAATATTGGAACGAATTAGTAGGCATGTCTATCCAACCACACCACACGCGTCATCACGTTCAATAGCTGCGCCATCAGTTTCAATAGCTGCGTCATAACGTTCAATAGACGCGCAATGATTTTTAGTCATGTAACACTATTGAAAATAAAACATGTAAAGTACTGAAAAAGAAATTCATAAAAAAATCGTTTTAATAACAAGCTTTTATGTACTAATGCACTAAAAAGTAGAAAATAAATTATAGACTACTATTTAAATTACTATAAATATAAAGAAAAGCGTGGGTCTCTTCTCAAATATTAGGAAAGGTATCCAATAGGTACTAAAAAAAGTGACCCACGCTTTTCTTTATAGTAATTTAAATAGTAGTGTATAATTTATTTTCTACTTTTTAGAGCATCATTACATAAAAGATTGCTATTAAAACGTTTTTATGAATTTTTAAAGAAAACTCATTTTCCTATACATTAAACATAGATCATCTAGAGGTAGTTGTTCAGCCCTAAATTGCGAGGCTTTAAATTTTAAAAAGTAGAATCTAGATTCTATATCCCGAAAAAAAGATCACACTAAATTATTAAATATTATTATAGTTATAGCATATCATTTGCCTTAAACTAAACATGTAGACCTCTCCCCACCAGTCCACCCGAAGCACAATCAACAATGTTGGAAATAAATACCGCTCCCCTATATATATAGGCTATAACCTAGGTGGGTTATTTTCACATTTCGATAATGAAGACTAGGTTAATTAACTGAAATAAGTAACTAAAAACTCCCCCAAATCGTTTTCAATGAAACGTCAAAAAACACATAGACTCTAGATCTAGCCTAGGCCTAGATCTAGATCTAGCAAATTTTGACTAGATCTAGATCTAGATATCAAGCATATGTTCATTTTACACTTTTTGTGTACGGGGTCACCGTTTTCAAAATGGAGGAGTTTGATTTATGTAGCAACCGCGTAACAATTACAATATCAAACCATCATGTAGGCCACAACCTTCATTTTATTTATTTAATCAAAATAAAGTCTTACGATTTTCAGATATAAAAATAATATGAATGATTATTAGGTTTAGGGCTTAGGGCCTAGATCTAGATCTAGAATAAAAAATAGATAAAATAGTAAAATTAAACGAAGTGTCTACTCGGAATAAGATTTTTCGGCAAAAGATAGTTCTGCGCATGCGCAGTGACCTATGGCTAGGGTTAGGGCTAGAATGAGGGTTAGGGGTAGGATTAGGGATAGGGTTAGGGATAGGATTAGGGCTAGGGTTAGGGATAGGATTAGGGCTAGAGTTAGGGTTAGGATTAGGGATAGGATTAGGGATAGGGTTAAGGATAGGATTAGGGTTGGTATTAGGGTTCTGCGGTTGTAAACACACGCATGCGCAGTACCATCGAAAACATCGCCGTTAAGTCGTAGTTTCTCTCCATTGCGCATGCGTGTCGCATGCGTATCTTATTCCGACTAGAATCGGCCAAAATTAAATTAAAATAGTAAGAGATACGCCGTATGATCATTTATGATGTATGATACGGTAATGATGATGATGTAAAATCTGGTAATCTATCGTTTTGGGTACGTAAAATCGCCCGCGACTTGTAATGTAAAAACCAGGTGACTCCTTAAATTTTAAAAATTATTTCACATTTTGAGGAGGATTTTTTTTTTTTTTTAAATACAAAAATGTTTCTTTGTTTAATTTAGGCCCCTATGTACTACTAGTATGTACTTTAATGTACTATGTACCTGTTTTCAAACAATTGAATTAAAACTTTTCAATAATAAATGAAGACTAGCGATGTTTCCAACAGATGCAACCATGCTCATTTACTGACATTTACTGTAGCAGCCATCTTTTAAGTTCTTTCTTTGTTAACTTATAGCGCGGGATTCAGGGGGAGGCAACTCTATTTTACAAATGGCTGCTGTTTACATAGGAAATCCTGCTCGCAAACACTGCTGTTTAAAGTTAATTTCTTGCCTATATTGATATATTTAGCTATTGATTTAGGTTTATTATTCATTTATCTATAACAGGGGTCTCCAAACTTTTCAGCCCGAGGGCCGCATTAACTATCAAATTTCAGTTCGCGGGCCAGAGTAGAGTTTCTTCAATGCATCCTTTGGGGTGGCGGTGTCCACTGTGCCCCCCCCCCCAAAGAAATAGAATTTATATAGAAATATAAACACATTTTAAATGCAACCCCCCTACTTCCAGGAGAAAAAGTCTGAAAGAAACACTGTCCGGCTGACAACACACTCAAGGTCCAAGTTTGTTCTCCTCGGGCAAACACAAAAACCCACCCGCCATTTTTTTAACTTGTCTCTAAGGAGGTCATTTGCTTGCAATTCAATGACCTCCTCTGCAGTTCATGTGGGCAACTGGTTACATTTGCTTCAAATTGGTTTTGAAGCAGTCTCACTTCTTCTGCCTTTGAATCCTAGTCAGAAAACCGTTACTGAAACTGCAGCTGGAGGTCTTTGATGATCTTGCATGCAAATGATGTGAGGAACTCAGCTGTTGCTTCAGCCATTAAGACCTTGCACTGCTGAAAGTTCCAAAAACAAGGAACAGCTGTCCATCGACTCCATTTGAGTCACAATGTTTTCATCAACGTTTGCAACACAGTGGGCAAAGGTATTTATAACCAAAGCTAGATTTTCAAATTGTTTTGAATTTTCTGAGCAAAGTACCTCAGCCACTTCTAATAAACATTTTTTTCCGTGAACAAAAAGATCTCCGCGGGCCGGATGAGAAGACCTCGCGGGCCGCATCCGGCCCGCGGGCCGTAGTTTGGAGACCCCTGATCTATAATATTTGACACTAATATATCAAAATATACTTCTATTAAAGCCTTGACAATGAGGTAACTTTTTTGTACATTACTAGCCGCTGGCGATTTTACGTACCCAAAACGATAGATTACCGGTAACCTTAAGGTTTAAGAATCTATCGTTTTAGTTTAGTTTAGTTTAAGTTACGTAAAATCGATAGATTACCTTAGATTTAGTTAGATACTAGATACTTACTAAGATACTAACTAGTAACTAGATAGTTACTAGCTCTAATAGTAGATCTAGATAGATGGGCCCCTATTTTAATTTTTTTTATTAGGCCTCTACTAGAAATCTAGTTAATATTCTAGATCTAGAATTCTAGATCACTCATCAGTAGTAGTTAGAAATCTAGATTTAGACTCTAGCTAGTTTAAGTCTTACTCTAAGTCTAAGTAAACTAACAATTATAGGCCTATAATATTATATTCTAACTAGTGATAGGTTAGGGTGTTGGGAAATTGTGTAAAGTGAAATGGCGAGGTGGTAAACTGCGAGAAGAAAATGCAAGACATACCTGCGGAATCACGGGTAAACAGCGATACACAGTTTGTGAAAAAAATGTGTTTCGTGTTTTTTCTTTTTGGTTTTTTTTTAGTTACAAACTAAAGAAGCTGATATATCACAAACGTTTTTTGTGTGTTTTTTTTTAAAAAAATCTCTCGTTTTCTTGTCAGCGGGAGAAAAAAAAACCTGTCTCTATAGACGGGTCAGCATGAGTTCATAAAGAGAATATTATTTTAGACTATATCGGTAAAATCTATATCTAGATATTCAAAATTCTAAGCATTGTCGTCCGCTTCTTGCCCGCTCACACTTTCTTATCTGCGCGAGATAAGTCTACATTACTCATTAAGTCTACATCGTGACAAGACACAGCGCGACCTTAATATCATACTACTTTGACTTTTCTAAGGAAAAAAGTATACCAGCATGCAGCAACGTCATTTAAGGTCAATACCTCAGTGAATTATTTTTGGCTCAATTTCAATGAGTATACAGCACTCCCCTTTTCTTCACCACATTTTAAAACAAGTTAATAAAAAGTCTAGTGAACTTTTTATGCGCAATTTCCTTAATTAATTTTTTGTGACCGAACGAAAGGATATTTTGAAAACTTTCTTCGGCAATATTGTTCTAAATTATGGCAGGAATCGATTGGTAAATGTTTCAAGTCGCTAAGTGGTCTGGTTGCCGAGATATGGGCCAAAAACTGCATTTTTTCGAGGTTTTTTGGCTTTTCCGGGAAATCCAGGAAGGAATTCCGGGAATTTTTTGGCCCACAATGATCCTCGGAACTTGCTTAACATATTTGCTTTGGAACTAGTCCTCGATATTGCTTCGTTGAGGAGGAGATACGACTTAAAGCTGCGGACACCCATCCATCCATCCATCCATCCATCCATCCAGAAATAACGAACTAATAATCGCAATTGTCAGTATGGAAATTGCGCTAAAAAAACTAACGTGGTTGGGGTCAAATGTGTAACGTTCGATTAAAGAAAGGGAGCGGGTGGTATCTTTAAAAATAAATTATAAAGGAAATGTGTAATCTTATTACTTAATTAATTAGGCCTAGTTAATTTAATTATCTTTAAAGAAAATGTGTGTGGTATGTGGCCTGACCTATTAAATATATTATTGTTTTGAGTTTATATTTAACTCAATGCAACAAACGCGCCCACTGGTTGAGGCCACCCCGGGGGTTTGTTCTGCTACATAATAAAGCAAAATTAGCATTTTGAAAATTAATTAAGTTTTTCTTTACAAAGTACTTATGTTCAGCATTATTATACACACATAATTGGCTGTTCATTTGGTGCGCATTTCCTTTTTTTTAACAAGATTCTATTCTATATTTAAATGATTAAGTGTTTAAAAATAAAAAATCATGTCTATATCCCGAGTTGACATCCCGGAGTGTTAAATAAGGTTATTCAAGAAAGTTTAGGGGAGATCACTCCCGCTGTATTTAAACTGGTCTTACTGTTACTGACAGACACACTGTTAGTACTCTTTAGACCAGATTAAAAAAAAAAATCGTTTGATAGATTCTAGATTAGATCTAGAATCTAGATCAAGTCTAGATCTACTCTAGATTCTTGAATTGAAGTAAAGTTTTGTAAAGCGGTTAAGTTTACTATTACTAGAATCCAGATCTATACTACATACCATTTAGACTAGAAGTAAAATCCCAGATCTAGATCTATACTATGTGACAGCGTGTGTTGTCATGTATGTTGTTGTACGGAGTGAAGGAGGGTAACAAGGGAAGCTACTGGTCAAGTGACAGCTGGGTTTTTGTAAGCTGGAGGAAGGAGATGTGGAGCCATGAATGAGGATGGCAGTTAGAGGTGAGAGTGGGATGGCAGTTAGAGGTGAGAGTGGGATGGCAGTTAGAGGTGAGAGCGGGATGGCAGTTAGAGGTGAGAGCGGGATGGCAGTTAGAGGTGAGAGCGGGATGGTAGTTAGAGGTGAGAGTGGGATGGCAGTTAGTGAGAGTGGGATGGCAGTTAGAGGTGAGAGTGGGATGGCAGTTAGAGGTGAGAGTGGGATGGCAGTTAGAGGTGAGAGTGGGATGGCAGTTAGAGGTGAGAGTGGAATGGCAGTTAGAGGTGAGAGTGGGATGGCAGTTAGGGGTGAGAGTGGGATGGCAGTTAGTGAGAGTGGGATGGCAGTTAGAGGTGAGAGTGGGATGGCAGTTAGAGGTGAGAGTGGGATGGCAGTTAGAGGTGAGAGTGGGATGGCAGTTAGAGGTGAGAGTGGGATGGCAGTTAGAGGTGAGAGTGGGATGGCAGTTAGAGGTGAGAGTGGAATGGCAGTTAGAGGTGAGAGTGGAATGGCAGTTAGAGGTGAGAGCGGGATGGTAGTTAGAGGTGAGAGTGGGATGGTAGTTAGAGGTGAGAGTGGGATGGCAGTTAGAGGTGAGAGTGGGATGGCAGTTAGAGGTGAGAGTGGGATGGCAGTTAGGGGTGAGAGTGGGATGGTAGTTAGAGGTGAGAGTGGGATGGCAGTTAGAGGTGAGAGTGGGATGGCAGTTAGGGGTGAGAGTGGGATGGTAGTTAGAGGTGAGAGTGGGATGGCAGTTAGTTAACTAATTTTATACCTAACTAGGTTTATAACTTACTAGGTTTATACCTAACTTGGTTTATACCTAACTAGGTTTATACCTAACTAGGTTTATAACTTACTAGGTTTATACCTAACTTGGTTTATACCTAACTAGGTTTATACCTAACTAGCCGTCGGTACCCATTACACGTGAATTATAGGTCTATATATTTTTAATGTTATACATTTTTTAGAAGAATATTTTATAAAAAAGTTATTGGTCAAAATGCAATGTGCGTAACGATATTAGTGACAGAGCAAAGAAATAACTAAATAGCTAAAAGTCCGACACATTTAAATATGGCATTATATGCTACTAATACCTATTAGAAAAAATATAACCAAATTATATACATAATTAGTCAACACAACACCATATTAAATGCACACATTGATAAAAAGACTTAAATGATTCTGTTTTAAAAACTGACTTTTCAATGATATTTATGTTGTTTTTTAAAGTAATTCTTATTAGTTTTGGCCGTGGAAATTGTATAAATTTCATAAATTACGTCTCGATATGTAAATCTATAGATCTGAATCAAATTTTAATGAAATAGTTCATTTCTTCGTATTCTAAAATTGGAAGATGACGCCATTGGTTTTGTGTACTTTCCGTAGTTCAAACATATGACATGTGATGTCATCGATTTCGCCGTTCTTGTCACAACTATAAACATTTTTCCAGTTGCATAATTAAAACTGTTTTTTTACATTTGAATATGCTTTTATTTTTTATTTTCTTCTTTAAATAAAATGTTGTTTATACATTTAAAACATCTACCATATTATTTTCAACAAAAGTCCGTATCAAGTTCTCCACTGATCTGATACCCTGTGAAAATATTTTGCGGACAGAGAGAGAGAGACAGAGAGAGAGAAATGCGCACATGGGCTTCTATATATTAGGATTGTGTGGTTACAAAGTCCGAACCTCCTCATCTTAAAGCTACTGATGACTTGCACCAAATTTGAGTCAATTGTAAAAAAATAGCTTAGTGTATTGACCTGTATGTAAACCAACTTAGGCCTTCTTACAGAAATTGGATGTTATTTTATTTTTCTCTTTCATCTAATTATAAAAAAAATTGTAAACAGAATATCCAAATAAAAAGCCAAATATTAAAAGGCTTTCTAGCTTATGCATTGATAGAACACTCCACATCTTTGCATTTTAGTGCTTTTATGAGTAAAATCCCGCCCTCCCCAATATTAGAGCTCAGTTTTTTTATAAAAAATATGGCTGTATTTGGACTCCTAACTTTATGCAGGAATTCTATTGTATTGAATTTACATTAGATAAAAAGGACAATTATCATTTTTACAGAACTAAAATTGGTGCTTTTGATAGAACCAGTATCTACAATGAGTTGCTCAACATCATCTGAAGCTGACAGATTGGTAGACAGGTAATCCAACACATTTTTTATCTGCTAGATTGGTAATACATCTTCAAAGGTGTTCATATGCAAAAAGAATTCATAGTGCTAAGATAATGATCAAATCCTTCAGAAGCAGACTAAACTACTGGGTCCAGCACATTGCCAAGATAATGAATAAAAACCAAAGGAAAGTTGGTCTTGAAGATGTCCATCAGATACGTTTTGCCAGCCTCAAGTTGTTGCAGTGTCTTCAGCAGCTAGGTATGACATCTGTAATTTATATCTTCACCTCATCGTATTTTAGGTGTATATGTGTTCACATGTTATTGTGTTGTATGTGTATATGTGTTCACATGTTATATGTGTATATGTGTTCACATGTTATTGTGTTGTATGTGTATATGTGTTCACATGTTATATGTGTATATGTGTTCACATGTTATTGTGTTGTATGTGTATATGTGTTCACATGTTATATGTGTATATGTGTTCACATGTTATTGTGTTGTATGTGTATATGTGTTCACATGTTATATGTGTATATGTGTTCACATGTTATTGTGTTGTATGTGTATATGTGTTCACATGTTATATGTGTATATGTGTTCACATGTTATTGTGTTGTATGTGTATATGTGTTCACATGTTATATGTGTATATGTGTTCACATGTTATTGTGTTGTATGTGTATGTGTTCACATGTTATATGTGTATATGTGTTCACATGTTATTGTGTTGTATGTGTATATGTGTTTACATGTTATTGTGTTGTATGTGTATAATATGTGTTCACATGTTATATGTGTATATGTGTTCACATGTTATTGTGTTGTATGTGTATATGTGTTCACATGTTATATGTGTATATGTGTTCACATGTTATTGTGTTGTATGTGTATATGTGTTTACATGTTATTGTGTTGTATGTGTATATGTGTTCACATTTTATATGTGTATATGTGTTCACATGTTATTGTGTTGTATGGGGATATGTGTTCACATGTTATATGTGTATATGTGTTCACATGTTATTGTGTTGTATGTGTATATGTGTTCACTGTTATATGTGTATATGTGTTCACATGTTATTGTGTTGTATGTGTATATGTGTTCACATGTTATTGCGTTGTATGTGTATATGTGTTCACATGTTATTGTGTTGTATGTGTATATGTGTTCACATGTTATTGTGTTGTATGTGTATATGTGGTCACATGTTATTGTGTTGTATGTGTATATGTGGTCACATGTTATTGTGTTGTATGTGTATATGTGTTCACATGTTATTGTGTTGTATGTGTATATGTGTTCACATGTTATATGTGTATATGTGTTCACATGTTATTGTGTTGTATGTGTATATGTGTTCACATGTTATTGTGTTGTATGTGTATATGTGTTCACATGTTATTGTATTTTATGTGTATATGTGGTCACATGTTATTGTGTATATGTGTTCACATGTTATTGTGTTGTATATGTATATGTGGTCACATGTTATTGTGTATATGTGTTCACATGTTATTGTGTATATGTGTTCACATGTTATTGTGTATATGTGTTCACATGTTATTGTATTGTATGTGTATATGTGTTCACATGTTATTGTGTTGTATGTGTATATGTGTTCACATGTTATTGTGTTGTATGTGTATATGTGGTCACATGTTATTGTGTTGTATGTGTATATGTGGTCACATGTCCAGATGTGGGGCTGGCCTGACAACCACCTGTTACTGCACTTGCCAGGCGACCACCTCTGGTGAAAAGGGAGTCACCTCCGTCCGAAGTTAGGCTGGGACCACCTTGACTTTTAGTTCACCACCTTCTCCGTCTGTTTCATTTGACCTATCTTTAAGACGTTCACCCTCTGCATCAGTAGGTTCAGAACACGACAATTCTCTGCCCTACACAGTGGCGTCCACACATGACAATTCTCTGCCCTACACAGTGGCGTCCACACATGACAATTCTCTGCCCTACACAGTGGCGTCCACACATGACAATTCTCTGCCCTACACAATGGCGTCCACACATGACTCTAGTCAATTCTCTGCCCTACACAGTGGCGTCCACACATGACAATTCTCTGCCCTACACAGTGGCGTCCACACATGACTCTAGTCAATTCTCTGCCCTACACAGTGGCGTCCACACATGACTCTAGTCAATTCTCTGCCCTACACAGTGGCGTCCACACATGACTCTAGTCAATTCTCTGCCTTACACAGTGGCGTCCACACATGACTCTAGTCAATTCTCTGCCCTACACAGTGGCGTCCACACATGACTCTAGTCAATTCTCTGCCCTACACAGTGGCGTCCACACATGACTCTAGTCAATTCTCTGCCCTACACAGTGGCGTCCACACATGACTCTAGTCAATTCTCTGCCCTACACAGTGGCGTCCACACATGACAATTCTCTGCCCTACACAGTGGCGTCCACACATGACTCTAGTCAATTCTCTGCCCTACACAGTGGCATCCACACATGACAATTCTCTGCCCTACACAGTGGCGTCCACACATGACTCTAGTCAATTCTCTGCCCTACACAGTGGCGTCCACACATGACAATTCTCTGCCCTACACAGTGGCGTCCACACATGACAATTCTCTGCCCTACACAGTGGCGTCCACACATGACAATTCTCTGCCCTACACAGTGGCGTCCACACATGACTCTAGTCAATTCTCTGCCCTACACAGTGGCGTCCACACATGACTCTAGTCAATTCTCTGCCCTACACAGTGGCGTCCACACATGACTCTAGTCAATTCTCTGCCCTACACAGTGGCATCCACACATGACAATTCTCTGCCCTACACAGTGGCGTCCACACATGACTCTAGTCAATTCTCTGCCCTACACAGTGGCGTCCACACATGACTCTAGTCAATTCTCTGCCCTACACAGTGGCGTCCACACATGACTCTAGTCAATTCTCTGCCCTACACAGTGGCGTCCACACATGACAATTCTCTGCCCTACACAGTGGCGTCCACACATGACAATTCTCTGCCCTACACAGTGGCGTCCACACATGACAATTCTCTGCCCTACACAGTGGCGTCCACACATGACTCTAGTCAATTCTCTGCCCTACACAGTGGCGTCCACACATGACAATTCTCTGCCCTACACAGTGGCGTCCACACATGACTCTAGTCAATTCTCTGCCCTACACAGTGGCGTCCACACATGACAATTCTCTGCCCTACACAGTGGCGTCCACACATGACAATTCTCTGCCCTACACAGTGGCGTCCACACATGACTCTAGTCAATTCTCTGCCCTACACAGTGGCGTTCACACATGACTCTAGTCAATTCTCTGCCCTACACAGTGGCGTCCACACATGACTCTAGTCAATTCTCTGCCCTACACAATGGCGTACACACATGACTCTAGTCAATTCTCTGCCCTACACAGTGGCTTCCACACTCGACTCTAGTCAATTCTCTGCCCTACACAGTGGCGTCCACACATGACTCTAGTCAATTCTCTGCCTTACACAGTGGCGTCCACACATGACTCTAGTCAATTCTCTGCCCTACACAGTGGCGTCCACACATGACTCTAGTCAATTCTCTGCCCTACACAGTGGCGTCCACACATGACTCTAGTCAATTCTCTGCCCTACACAGTGGCGTCCACACATGACAATTCTCTGCCCTACACAGTGGCGTCCACACATGACAATTCTCTGCCCTACACAGTGGCGTCCACACATGACAATTCTCTGCCCTACACAGTGGCGTCCACACATGACTCTAGTCAATTCTCTGCCCTACACAGTGGCGTCCACACATGACAATTCTCTGCCCTACACAGTGGCGTCCACACATGACTCTAGTCAATTCTCTGCCCTACACAGTGGCGTCCACACATGACTCTAGTCAATTCTCTGCCCTACACAGTGGCGTCCACACATGACAATTCTCTGCCCTACACAGTGGCGTCCACACATGACAATTCTCTGCCCTACACAGTGGCGTCCACACATGACTCTAGTCAATTCTCTGCCCTACACAGTGGCGTCCACACATGACAATTCTCTGCCCTACACAGTGGCGTCCACACATGACTCTAGTCAATTCTCTGCCCTACACAGTGGCGTCCACACATGACTCTAGTCAATTCTCTGCCCTACACAGTGGCGTCCACACATGACAATTCTCTGCCCTACACAGTGGCGTCCACACATGACAATTCTCTGCCCTACACAGTGGCGTCCACACATGACAATTCTCTGCCCTACACAGTGGCGTCCACACATGACAATTCTCTGCCCTACACAGTGGCATCCACACATGACTCTAGTCAATTCTCTGCCCTACACAGTGGCGTCCACACATGACAATTCTCTGCCCTACACAGTGGCGTCCACACATGACTCTAGTCAATTCTCTGCCCTACACAGTGGCGTCCACACATGACTCTAGTCAATTCTCTGCCCTACACAGTGGCGTCCACACATGACTCTAGTCAATTCTCTGCCCTACACAGTGGCGTCCACACATGACTCTAGTCAATTCTCTGCCCTACACAGTGGCGTCCACACATGACAATTCTCTGCCCTACACAGTGGCGTCCACACATGACAATTCTCTGCCCTACACAGTGGCATCCACACATGACTCTAGTCAATTCTCTGCCCTACACAGTGGCGTCCACACATGACTCTAGTCAATTCTCTGCCCTACACAGTGGCGTCCACACATGACTCTAGTCAATTCTCTGCCCTACACAGTGGCGTCCACACATGACTCTAGTCAATTCTCTGCCCTACACAGTGGCGTCCACACATGACTCTAGTCAATTCTCTGCCCTACACAGTGGCGTCCACACATGACAATTCTCTGCCCTACACAGTGGCGTCCACACATGACAATTCTCTGCCCTACACAGTGGCATCCACACATGACTCTAGTCAATTCTCTGCCCTACACAGTGGCGTCCACACATGACAATTCTCTGCCCTACACAGTGGCGTCCACACATGACTCTAGTCAATTCTCTGCCCTACACAGTGGCGTCCACACATGACAATTCTCTGCCCTACACAGTGGCGTCCACACATGACAATTCTCTGCCCTACACAGTGGCGTCCACACATGACAATTCTCTGCCCTACACAGTGGCGTCCACACATGACAATTCTCTGCCCTACACAGTGACGTCCGCCACATCGTCGGCCTTTTCTCTGATGACCTCTCCGACCTCTGCTTGTGTCATGTCTGTCGACAATCCTGCTCGTGCTGAGACTGACATTCATGGTGCAGCTGTCTACCCTCCTCATACGCACCCTCTGACTGCAACCCTCCCCCACGGCGGAACACCCGACAGCCGTACCCCCTGTCGCTAGGCGAGATAACTGGGGCTGTGGCTGCTCGACACTGTGCTGTTCTTGGTGGGGTAACCTTGGGCTGAGAGTTTGGTAGACCACACATCAGCATCCTCTCCCCAACCCTAACCCTGGTGGGGTAACCTTGGGCTGAGAGTTTGGTAGACCACACATCCTCTCCCCAACCCTAACCCTGGTGGGGTAACCTTGGGCTGAGAGTTTGGTAGACCACACATCCTCTCCCCAACCCTAACCCTGGTGGGGTAACCTTGGGCTGAGAGTTTGGTAGACCACACATCCTCTCCCCAACCCTAACCCTTTAGCATTTAACATGTGGCCATGTAATACTAAATGGGGTAACCTTGGGCTGAGAGTTTGGTAGACCACACATCAGCATCCTCTCCCCAACACTAACCCTGGTGGGGTAACCTTGGGCTGAGAGTTTGGTAGACCACACATCAGCTCCCCAACCCTAATCCTGGTGGGGTAACCTTGGGCTGAGAGTTTGGTAGACCACACATCAGCTCCCCAACCCTAACCCTGGTGGGGTAACCTTGGGCTGAGAGTTTGGTAGACCACACATCCTCTCCCCAACACTAACCCTGGTGGGGTAACCTTGGGCTGAGAGTTTGGTAGACCACACATCCTCTCCCCAACCCTTATCCTGGTGGGGTAACCTTGGGCTGAGAGTTTGGTAGACCACACATCAACATCCTCTCCCCAACCCTAATCCTGGTGGGGTAACCTTGGGCTGAGAGTTTGGTAGACCACACATCAACATCCTCTCCCCAACCCTAATCCTGGTGGGGTAACCTTGGGCTGAGAGTTTGGTAGACCACACATCCTCTCCCCAACCCTTATCCTGGTGGGGTAACCTTGGGCTGAGAGTTTGGTAGACCACACATCAGCTCCCCAACCCTAACCCTGGTGGGGTAACCTTGGGCTGAGAGTTTGGTAGACCACACATCCTCTCCCCAACACTAACCCTGGTGGGGTAACCTTGGGCTGAGAGTTTGGTAGACCACACATCAGCTCCCCAACACTAACCCTGGTGGGGTAACCTTGGGCTGAGAGTTTGGTAGACCACACATCCTCTCCCCAACACTAATCCTGGTGGGGTAACCTTGGGCTGAGAGTTTGGTAGACCACACATCAGCTCCCCAACCCTAACCCTGGTGGGGTAACCTTGGGCTGAGAGTTTGGTAGACCACACATCAACATCCTCTCCCCAACCCTAACCCTGGTGGGGTAACCTTGGGCTGAGAGTTTGGTAGACCACACATCAACATCCTCTCCCCAACCCTAACCCTGGTGGGGTAACCTTGGGCTGAGAGTTTGGTAGACCACACATCAACATCCTCTCCCCAACCCTAACCCTGGTGGGGTAACCTTGGGCTGAGAGTTTGGTAGACCACACATCAACATCCTCTCCCCAACCCTAACCCTGGTGGGGTAACCTTGGGCTGAGAGTTTGGTAGACCACACATCCTCTCCCCAACCCTTATCCTGGTGGGGTAACCTTGGGCTGAGAGTTTGGTAGACCACACATCCTCTCCCCAACCCTTATCCTGGTGGGGTAACCTTGGGCTGAGAGTTTGGTAGACCACACATCAACATCCTCTCCCCAACCCTAATCCTGGTGGGGTAACCTTGGGCTGAGAGTTTGGTAGACCACACATCAGTATCCACTCCCCGAGGGTTAGCAGGCTCCTCCAGATGTTAGCAGGCTCCTCCAGATGGCCGTTGTTCCCAGGCTGGAATCTCTGCCACCTTCTCTGCTAGACAAGTTATTCCTCAATGAGCGTCAGCGGCGTCTCCTGGCAAACAGCTGCCATTAGTGTGCCGACCTGGATGTTCACATGTCATTGTATTGTATGTGTATATGCATGTTCATGTGTCATTGTATTGTATGTGTATATGCATGTTCATGTGTCATTGTATTGTATGTGTATAGACATATTCATGTGTCAGTGTATTGTATGTGTATATGCATGTTCACGTGTCATTGTATTGTATGTGTATATGCATGTTCACGTGTCATTTTTATTGTATGTGTATATGCATGTTCACGTGTCATTGTATTGTATGTGTATATGCATGTTCACGTGTCATTGTATTGTATGTGTATATGCATGTTCACGTGTCATTGTATTGTATGTGTATATGCATGTTCATGTGTCATTGTATTGTATGTGTATATGCATGTTCACGTGTCATTGTATTGTATGTGTATATGCATGTTCATGTGTCATTGTATTGTATGTGTATATGCATGTTCATGTGTCATTGTATTGTATGTGTATATGCATGTTCATGTGTCATTGTATTGTATGTGTATATGCATGTTCATGTGTCATTGTATTGTATGTGTATATGCATGTTCATGTGTCATTGTATTGTATGTGTATATGCATGTTCATGTGTTATTGTATTGTATGTGTATATGCATGTTCACGTGTCATTGTATGTGTATATGCATGTTTATGTGCCATTGTATTGTATGTGTATATGCATGTTCATGTGTCATTGTATTGTATGTGTATATGCATGTTCACGTGTCATTGTATTGTATGTGTATATGCATGTTCACGTGTCATTGTATGTGTATATGCATGTTTATGTGCCATTGTATTGTATGTGTATATGCATGTTCATGTGCCATTGTATTGTATGTGTATATGCATGTTCATGTGTCATTGTATTGTATGTGTATATGCATGTTCATGTGTCATTGTATTGTATGTGTATATGCATGTTCTGCTTTGTTCTTAATGGTAATATTGTATGGGATATCCTTCAACACAATTTAGTATTACATGGCCACATGTTAAATGCTAAAGGGTTAGGGTTGGGGAGCTGATGTGTGGTCTACCAAACTCTCAGCCCAAGGTTACCCCACCAGGGTTAGGGTTGGGGAGAGGATGTGTGGTCTACCAAACTCTCAGCCCAAGGTTACCCCACCAGGGTTAGGGTTGGGGAGAGGATGCTGATGTGTGGTCTACCAAACTCTCAGCCCAAGGTTACCCCACCAGGGTTAGGGTTGGGGAGAGGATGCTGATGTGTGGTCTACCAAACTCTCAGCCCAAGGTTACCCCACCAGGATTAGGGTTGGGGAGAGGATGTGTGGTCTACCAAACTCTCAGCCCAAGGTTACCCCACCAGGATTAGGGTTGGGGAGAGGATGTGTGGTCTACCAAACTCTCAGCCCAAGGTTACCCCATTTAGTATTACATGGCCACATGTTAAATGATAAAGGATTTAGTTCCCTTAACTTTGTCCATCCAAGAACAATCTACAAGAGTAAAGTATAATTTCTCTATTTACAGACAAACCTAGTAAAGATGCTTTTGTAAAGAATGTTGTAGCAGTGGATACATTGATTTCTGTTTTACAGGTAGGCATACTTAGAACATTCAAATTGTGTTGATCTAGAACATTATAATTGTGTTAACTTAGAACATTCTATTTATGTTAACCTAGAACATTGTATGTAGTGGCCCATTGGGATTGTATGTAGTGGCCCATTGGAATTGTATGTAGTGGCCCATTGGGATTGTATGTAGTGGCCCATTGGAATTGTATGTAGTGACCCATTTGGAATTGTATGTAGTGACCCATTTGGAATTGTATGTAGTGACCCATTTGGAATTGTATGTAGTGGCCCATTGGGATTGTATGTAGTGGCCCATTGGGATTGTATGTAGTGGCCCCTACTGGGGCGCAAAATGGCAGCCTACTGGGGTGCCAGTGGATATGCTTGATAAAATGTAGTTGGCTATTGAGTAGCCCATTGTGTCCATATTGTATTAAAGAAACTTAGGCATCACAGTGCTCATGGGTGAGCTCAGGATACTGATGTGTGGGGAATATGATCTGTGCATGTTTAGATTTGTGTGGGGAATATGATCTGTGCATGTTTAGATTTGTGTGGGGAATATGATCTGTGCATGTTTAGATTTGTGTGGGGAATATGATCTGTGCATGTTTAGATTTCTATAACGGGGAATGAATTGTAACCACTTTTGATATTAACACAATGGATAGTGTATTAGGTATGTGTTAAGGTTAACACAGTGTTTAGGTATGTGTTTAGGTTAACACAGTGTTTAGGTATGTATTAAGGTTAACACAGTGTTTAGGTATGTGTTAAGGTTAACACAGTGTTTAGGTATGTGTTAAGGTTAACACAGTGTTTAGGTATGTGTTAAGGTTAACACAGTGTTTAGGTATGTGTTAAGGTTAACACAGTGTTTAGGTATATGTTAAGGTTAACAAAGTGTTTAGGTATGTGTTAAGGTTAACACAGTATTTAGGTATGTGTTAAGGTTAACACAGTGTTTAGGTATGTGTTTAGGTTAACACAGTGTTTAGGTATGTTTTAAGGTTAACACATTGTTTAGGTATGTGTTTAGGTTAACACAGTGTTTAGGTATGTGTTAAGGTTAACACAGTGTTTAGGTATGTGTTAAGGTTAACACAGTGTTTAGGTATGTATTAAGGTTAACACAGTGTTTAGGTATGTGTTAAGGTTAACACAGTGTTTAGGTATGTGTTAAGGTTAACACAGTGTTTAGGTATGTGTTAAGGTTAACACAGTGTTTAGGTATGTGTTAAGGTTAACACAGTGTTTAGGTATGTGTTAAGGTTAACACATTGTTTAGGTATGTGTTTAGGTTAACACAGTGTTTAGGTATGTGTAAACATCGTGTTTTTTACTTTCAGGCTGTAACATGTGAACAGACCCTGTCTAACATGGTCAGCATCTTCATAGATATTGCTGGTAAACAGCGTACGTTTTTTATGTTGGTTACACTTACTTTAGGACATTTGTTAACCTTGATTACACTTACAATAGGACATTAGTTAACCTTGATTACACTAACATTAGGACATTTGTTAACCTTGATTACACTTACAATAGGACATTTGTTAATCTTGAATACACTTACATTAGGACATTTGTTAATCTTGATTACACTTACATTAGGACATTTGTTAACCTTGATTACACTTACATTAGGACATTTGTTAACCTTTATTACACTTACATTAGGACATTGGTTAACCTTGATTACACTAACATTAGGACATTTGTTAACCTTGATTACACTTACATTAGGACATTTGCTAACCTTGATTATACTTACATTAGGACATTTGTTAACCTTGATTACACTTACATTAGGACATTTGTTAACCTTGATTACACTTACAATAGGAAATTTGTTAATCTAGATTACACTTACAATAGGACATTTGTTAATCTTGAATACACTTACAAAAGGACATTTGTTAACCTTGATTACATTTACAATAGGACATTTGTTAACCTTGATTACACTTACAATAGGACATTGGTTAACCTTGATTACACTAACATTAGGACATTGGTTAACCTTGATTACACTAACATTAGGACATTTGTTAATCTTGATTACACTTACATTAGGACATTTGTTAATCTTGATTACACTTACATTAGGACATTTGTTAATCTTGAATACACTTACAATAGGACATTTGTTAACCTTGATTACACTTACAATAGGACATTTGTTAACCTTGATTACACTAACATTAGGACATTGGTTAACCTTGATTACACTAACATTAGGACATTTGTTAATCTTGATTACACTTACATTAGGACATTTGTTAACCTTGATTACACTTACATTAGGACATTTGTATTTTGAAATGTAGCATATCCTAAAAACATTAGTTAAACTTTAATTTTGATCTGATATTTTAGTCATGAAAGAATTGTGTGTACAAAATGTGACATGATTGAGTATAGTACTGTATGTGCATGTTCCCTGATGTCATATGGTATTGTATGTGCATGTTCCCTGATGTCATATGGTATTGCCATGCTCCCTGATGTGACAATCTCTATGAGTTATTGCCGTGTGTTTCAGCATCCAACAGACGCATCTCAGTGCTGGTCAGCCATGGATTGACCACAGTTTTATTTCAGATCTTAAAGTTAGCTCACACCAATGATCTACTCATTTCTGATGATTTGCTCATTGACATTCATGTCCTACTCAGTAGGATAGGCCACAAAGGTATGTAGCATGTTTGTTACATATGTGGATCACATGTTGTATATTGTTTATATTAGTTAAGTATGTAGGCCACATGTTATAAATATTTATGTTAGTTATGTATGTAGGCCACATGTTATAAATGTTTATATTAGTTAGGTATGTAGGCCACATGTTATAAATATTTATGTTAGTTATGTATGTAGGCCACATGTTATAAATGTTTATATTAGTTAGGTATGTAGGCCACATGTTATAAATGTTTATATTAGTTAGGTATGTAGGCCACATGTTATAAATGTTTATATTAGTTATGTGTGTAGGCCACATGTTATAAATATTTATGTTAGTCATGTCAGGTTTTTGTATTTAGATCGCAAGTTTGCAGTGAAGGCGCGTCTTCACCAGAGCTTGATGTTGACATTAAACTTGGTCAAGTCGCATTCTCACAACTTTAGAAATCTACAGGCACTTCTTCAAGTCTTAAAACTCTACACCAACAATAGTACGTATTCTGTCACCAACAATAGTACGTATTCTGTCACCAACAATAGTACGTATACTGTCACCAACAATAGTACATATTCTGTCACCAACAATAGTACGTATTCTGTCACCAACAATAGTACGTATTCTGTCACCAACAATAGTACGTATTCTGTCACCAACAATTGTACGTATTCTGTCACCAACAATAGTACGTATTCTGTCGGCTGTTGTTTTCAAATCTAATAGTGTATATCATATAAACTTTTAAAAAAATCAATTTTAGCCTTGTACACAAAATGATACAAAAATCTTTCTGTTTGTAAATGATCTTTCCATTTGTAAATAATCTTTCTGTTTGTAAATGATCTTTCCATTTGTAAATAATCTTTATGTTTGTAAAAGATCTTTCCATTTGTAAATAATCTTTATGTTTGTAAAAGATCTTTCCATTTGTAAATAACATTTATGTTTGTAAAAGATCTTTCCATTTGTAAATAATCTTTATGTTTGTAAAATGTATGTTTGTGAATGATCTTTGTGTTTGTTAATGATCTTTCTGTTAGTAAATGATCTTTATGTTTGTAAGTAATCTTTCCATTTGTAAATGATCTTTCCTTTTGTAAATGATCTTTTCAGGTGTCAATGCATCTTACCTTGGGAAACACAATGCAGTCAACTGTATGCTGAAAATTTTGAGCCTGTGTGGGAAGAGACACACAGTGGACCTAAAGCTGGCCCTGGAGAATTTGTTTCACTTGACCAAGTCCAGTTGTCCATTTTTTTTTTTACATCTTGTCATTGTTGACTGTCATATTATGTCAGACTGTCAATTATCATGTCAGACTGTCAATTATCATGTCAGACTGTCAATTATCATGTCAGACTGTCAATTATCATGTCAGACTGTCAATTATCATGTCAGACTGTCAATTATTATGTCAGACTGTCAATTATCATGTCAGACTGTCAATTATCATGTCAGACTGTCAATTATCATGTCAGACTGTCAATTATCATGTCAGACTGTCAATTATCATGTCAGACTGTCAATTATCATGTCAGACTGTCAATTATCATGTCAGACTGTCAATTATCATGTCAGACTGTCAATTATCATGTCAGACTGTCAATTATCATGTCAGACTGTCAATTATCATGTCAGACTGTCAATTATCATGTCAGACTGTCAATTATCATGTCAGACTGTCAATTATCATGTCAGACTGTCAATTATCATGTCAGACTGTCAATTATCATGTCAGACTGTCAATTATCATGTCAGACTGTCAATTATCATGTCAGACTGTCAATTATCATGTCAGACTGTCAATTATCATGTCAGACTGTCAATTATCATGTCAGACTGTCAATTATCATGTCAGACTGTCAATTATCATGTCAGACTGTCAATTATCATGTCAGACTGTCAATTATCATGTCAGACTGTCAATTATCATGTCAGACTGTCAATTCTCATGTCAGACTGTCAATTATCATGTCAGACTGTCAATTATCATTTGATTTCAGACTGTCATCATAAAGTATATTTAAAAAAAAAAAAATTAGAATTAATTCTTGAAACATGAAAATCTGATTAGTTGCAGAAAGCAATGCAGCAATTAAAATCTGTCTAATTGGTTGCAGAAAGCAATGCAGCAATTAAAATCTGTCTAATTGGTTGCAGAAAGCAATGCAGCAATTAAAATCTGTCTAATTGGTTGCAGAAAGCAATGCAGCAATTAAAATCTGTCTAATTGGTTGCAGAAAGCAATGCAGCAATTAAAATCTGTCTAATTGGTTGCAGAAAGCAATGCAGCAATTAAAATCTGTCTAATTGGTTGCAGAAAGCAATGCAGCAATTAAAATCTGTCTAATTGGTTGCAGAAAGCAATGCAGCAATTAAAATCTGTCTAATTGGTTGCAGAAAGCAATGCAGCAATTAAAATCTGTCTAATTGGTTGCAGAAAGCAATGCAGCAATTAAAATCTGTCTAATTGGTTGCAGAAAGCAATGCAGCAATTAAAATCTGTCTAATTGGTTGCAGAAAGCAATGCAGCAATTAAAATCTGTCTAATTGGTTGCAGAAAGCAATGCAGCAATTAAAATCTGTCTAATTGGTTGCAGAAAGCAATGCAGCAATTAAAATCTGTCTAATTGGTTGCAGAAAGCAATGCAGCAATTAAAATCTGTCTAATTGGTTGCAGAAAGCAATGCAGCAATTAAAATCTGTCTAATTGGTTGCAGAAAGCAATGCAGCAAGACTGATTAGTGTGGAGGGAATAGCTCAACTTCTTGAGCTCCATTCAGACTGGCAGCAGTTGGACAGCAAGTTGAGGAACCTGGCCATCCGACGCAGTATCCTTCTCATCCTTAAAAACATCACCAATCTAAGTAGGTGTTGACATCATACATTTGTAAAAACATCACCAATCTAAGTAGGTGTTGACATCATACATTTGTAAAAACATCACCAATCTAAGTAGGTGTTAACATCATACATTTGTAAAAACATCACCAATCTAAGTAGGTGTTGACATCATACATTTGTAAAAACATCACCAATCTAAGTAGGTGTTGACATCATACATTTGTAAAAACATCACCAATCTAAGTAGGTGTTGACATCATACATTTGTAAAAACATCACCAATCTAAGTAGGTGTTGACATCATACATTTGTAAAAACATCACCAATCTAAGTAGGTGTTGACATCATACATTTGTAAAAACATCACCAATCTAAGTAGGTGTTGACATCATACATTTGTAAAAACATCACCAATCTAAGTAGGTGTTGACATCATACATTTGTAAAAACATCACCAATCTAAGTAGGTGTTGACATCATACATTTGTAAAAACATCACCAATCTAAGTAGGTGTTAACATCATACATTTGTAAAAACATCACCAATCTAAGTAGGTGTTGACATCATACATTTGTAAAAACATCACCCATGTGTAGTTCATTATTCTATATTTAAAGAAAATTTCCATGGGGCAAGTGAAGTAGAGTTTGTCTTTCGCTGTCACCTTGGCATATGAAAGTGAAAGATATAGCGTGGTCAGCACTATGCCTTTACTTTTCCTAATGTGTGTTAGGTACCTATCAGAGCTGGGTGGACTCAGGGAACTCAAGACTAGCAGACTAGCACTCTATGGCTAGGCTACATCATCTCCAACACTAGCACTCTATAGCTAGGCTACATCATCTCCAACACTAGCACTCTATGGCTAGGCTACATCATCTCCAACACTAGCACTCTATGGCTAGGCTACATCATCTCCAACACTAGCACTCTATGGCTAGGCTACATCATCTCCAACACTAGCACTCTATGGCTAGGCTACATCATCTCCAACACTAGCACTCTATGGCTAGGCTACATCATCTCCATCGATATAAAAGCTTGTTATTAAAATGATTTTATAATTTTTTTTCTTAACTTTTACATTTCTTGCTATATTTTATGTCAAGCCCATAATTGAGGTTTCAGCCCCCTCACCCCTTCAGCTCCCCCTCCCCCACCCCTTCAGCTCATCCCCCACCCCTTTAGCTCCCCCTCCCCCCACCCCTTCAGCTCCCCCTCCCCCACCCCTTTAGCTCCCCCTCCCCCCACCCCATCAGCTCACCTTCCATTCAGTTGAATAGATGACTCAAGGGATTATGCTGTGTACTGGCCACACAATCCCTTGGTGTGGCTGGCCACACAATCCCTTTGTGTGGTTGGCCACACAATCCCTTGGTGTGTCTTGCTATATTGTTTACAATTCCTTTTAAACAAAAAAACAAATAAACTCTACTTGACCTATACTTGAAACAGGAGCTGGGCGTAAAGCGTTTGTTGAAGCCAATGGTATTCGTGTTTTGTATGAGAGTGCTCTGGAGGCCAGCGACTGCCGTGACATGGAGGGTCTGATACTCCTGGCTAGCATCATACTCCGCAAATGTTGCCCCAAGAACAGATTACCTTTGGAGTCCTCATTTAGTCCTGTTGTCTTTTCATTGCCTCCATCTGCAGTGCACACACCAGAATGTTTTCAGCTACCAGATTATCCTGGCCATTGTAAAGGTATGTTGGATGGCCCTCTACACACAACTATGGCCCTCTACACACGACTATGGCCCTCTACACATGGCCCTCTACACACGACTATGGCCCTCTACACATGACTATGGCCCTCTACACACGACTATGGCCCTCTACACATGGCCCTCTACACATGGCCCTCTACACATGGCCCTCTACACACGACTATGGCCCTCTACACATGGCCCTCTACACATGGCCCTCTACACATGGCCCTCTACACATGGCCCTCTACACACGACTATGGCCCTCTACACATGACTATGGCCCTCTACACACGACTATGGCCCTCTACACACGACTATGGCCCTCTACACACGACTATGGCCCTCTACACACGACTATGGCCCTCTACACATGACTATGGCCCTCTACACACGACTATGGCCCTCTACACACGACTATGGCCCTCTACACACGACTATGGCCCTCTACACATGGCCCTCTACACACGACTATGGCCCTCTACACATGGCCCTCTACACATGACTATGGCCCTCTACACATGGCCCTCTACACATGACTATGGCCCTCTACACACGACTATGGCCCTCTACACATGGCCCTCTACACACGACTATGGCCCTCTACACACGACTATGGCCCTCTACACATGGCCCTCTACACACGACTATGGCCCTCTACACATGACTATGGCCCTCTACACACGACTATGGCCCTCTACACATGACTATGGCCCTCTACACACGACTATGGCCCTCTACACATGGCCCTCTACACATGGCCCTCTACACACGACTATGGCCCTCTACACACGACTATGGCCCTCTACACACGACTATGGCCCTCTACACATGGCCCTCTACACATGGCCCTCTACACATGACTATGGCCCTCTACACACGACTATGGCCCTCTACACATGGCCCTCTACACATGGCCCTCTACACACGACTATGGCCCTCTACACACGACTATGGCCCTCTACACATGGCCCTCTACACACGACTATGGCCCTCTACACACGACTATGGCCCTCTACACATGACTATGGCCCTCTACACACGACTATGGCCCTCTACACATGACTATGGCCCTCTACACACGACTATGGCCCTCTACACATGGCCCTCTACACACGACTATGGCCCTCTACACATGACTATGGCCCTCTACACACGACTATGGCCCTCTACACATGGCCCTCTACACACGACTATGGCCCTCTACACACGACTATGGCCCTCTACACATGACTATGGCCCTCTACACACGACTATGGCCCTCTACACATGGCCCTCTACACATGGCCCTCTACACACGACTATGGCCCTCTACACATGGCCCTCTACACATGACTATGGCCCTCTACACACGACTATGGCCCTCTACACATGGCCCTCTACACATGGCCCTCTACACACGACTATGGCCCTCTACACATGGCCCTCTACACATGGCCCTCTACACACAACTATGGCCCTCTACACACGACTATGGCCCTCTACACATGGCCCTCTACACATGGCCCTCTACACACGACTATGGCCCTCTACACATGGCCCTCTACACATGGCCCTCTACACACGACTATGGCCCTCTACACATGGCCCTCTACACATGGCCCTCTACACACGACTATGGCCCTCTACACATGGCCCTCTACACATGGCCCTCTACACATGGCCCTCTACACACGACTATGGCCCTCTACACATGGCCCTCTACACATGGCCCTCTACACACAACTATGGCCCTCTACACATGGCCCTCTACACATGGCCCTCTACACATGACTGTGGCCCTCTACACACGACTATGGCCCTCTACACATGGCCCTCTACACATGGCCCTCTACACATGGCCCTCTACACATGGCCCTCTACACATGGCCCTCTACACATGGCCCTCTACACATGACTATGGCCCTCTACACACGACTATGGCCCTCTACACACGACTATGGCCCTCTACACATGGCCCTCTACACATGGCCCTCTACACACGACTATGGCCCTCTACACATGGCCATCTACACATGGCCCTCTACACACGACTATGGCCCTCTACACATGGCCCTCTACACATGGCCCTCTACACATGGCCCTCTACACACGACTATGGCCCTCTACACATGACTATGGCCCTCTACACATGGCCATCTACACATGGCCCTCTACACACGACTATGGCCCTCTACACATGGCCCTCTACACACGACTATGGCCCTCTACACATGGCCCTCTACACACGACTATGGCCCTCTACACATGGCCCTCTACACACGACTATGGCCCTCTACACATGGCCCTCTACACATGGCCCTCTACACACGACTATGGCCCTCTACACATGACTATGGCCCTCTACACACGACTATGGCCCTCTACACATGGCCCTCTACACATGGCCCTCTACACATGGCCCTCTACACACGACTATGGCCCTCTACACATGGCCATCTACACATGGCCCTCTACACACGACTATGGCCCTCTACACATGGCCCTCTACACATGGCCCTCTACACATGGCCCTCTACACACGACTATGGCCCTCTACACATGGCCCTCTACACACGACTATGGCCCTCTACACACGACTATGGCCCTCTACACATGGCCCTCTACACATGGCCCTCTACACATGGCCCTCTACACATGGCCCTCTACACATGGCCCTCTACACACGACTATGGCCCTCTACACACGACTATCTTGAACAGAGCACCTTTATGATGGTGTGCAGCTAAATGATCGGTTGGTTTTTCATGGCTTGACTTTGTCAAGAAAAAACTTGTAGTACAACACTGTGCTGTTAACCAAGCGGATGGTTTTTATTTGCCTACCATTTCTTCATAGTCAGGTTGATGTGACAGTATTTGAAGGGGTGGATGGCATGTCTGTTGGTGCTGATGGCATGTCTGTTGGTGCTGATAGATGGCATGTCTGTTGGTGCTGATAGATGGCATGTCTGTTGGTGCTGATAGATGGCATGTCTGTTGGTGCTGATGTCATGTCTGTTGGTGCTGATGGCATGTCTGTTGGTGCTGATAGATGGCATGTCTGTTGGTGCTGATAGATGGCATGTCTGTTGGTGCTGATAGATGGCATGTCTGTTGGTGCTGATAGATGGCATGTCTGTTGGTGCTGATGGCATGTCTGTTGGTGCTGATAGATGGCATGTCTGTTGGTGCTGATAGATGGCATGTCTGTTGGTGCTGATAGATGGCATGTCTGTTGGTGCTGATGGCATGTCTGTTGGTGCTGATAGATGGCATGTCTGTTGGTGCTGATAGATGGCATGTCTGTTGGTGCTGATAGATGGCATGTCTGTTGGTGCTGATAGATGGCATGTCTGTTGGTGCTGATAGATGGCATGTCTGTTGGTGCTGATGGCATGTCTGTTGGTGCTGATAGATGGCATGTCTGTTGGTGCTGATAGATGGCATGTCTGTTGGTGCTGATGGCATGTCTGTTGGTGCTGATAGATGGCATGTCTGTTGGTGCTGATAGATGGCATGTCTGTTGGTGCTGATGGCATGTCTGTTGGTGCTGATAGATGGCATGTCTGTTGGTGCTGATGGCATGTCTGTTGGTGCTGATAGATGGCATGTCTGTTGGTGCTGATGGCATGTCTGTTGGTGCTGATAGATGGCATGTCTGTTGGTGCTGATAGATGGCATGTCTGTTGGTGCTGATAGATGGCATGTCTGTTGGTGCTGATGTCATGTCTGTTGGTGCTGATGTCATGTCTGTTGGTGCTGATGGCATGTCTGTTGGTGCTGATAGATGGCATGTCTGTTGGTGCTGATAGATGGCATGTCTGTTGGTGCTGATGGCATGTCTGTTGGTGCTGATAGATGGCATGTCTGTTGGTGCTGATGGCATGTCTGTTGGTGCTGATGTCATGTCTGTTGGTGCTGATGGCATGTCTGTTGGTGCTGATAGATGGCATGTCTGTTGGTGCTGATAGATGGCATGTCTGTCGGTGCTGATAGATGGCATGTCTGTTGGTGCTGATGGCATGTCTGTTGGTGCTGATGGCATGTCTGTTGGTGCTGATAGATGGCATGTCTGTTGGTGCTGATGGCATGTCTGTTGGTGCTGATAGATGGCATGTCTGTTGGTGCTGATAGATGGCATGTCTGTTGGTGCTGATAAATTGCATGTCTGTTGGTGCTGATGGCATGTCTGTTGGTGCTGATGGCATGTCTGTTGGTGCTGATGGATGGCATGTCTGTTGGTGCTGATAGATGGCATGTCTGTTGGTGCTGATGGATGGCATGTCTGTTGGTGCTGATGGCATGTCTGTTGGTGCTGATGGCATGTCTGTTGGTGCTGATAGATGGCATGTCTGTTGGTGCTGATAGATGGCATGTCTGTTGGTGCTGATGGCATGTCTGTTGGTGCTGATAGATGGCATGTCTGTTGGTGCTGATAGATGGCATGTCTGTTGGTGCTGATGGCATGTCTGTTGGTGCTGATAGATGGCATGTCTGTTGGTGCTGATAGATGGCATGTCTGTTGGTGCTGATAGATGGCATGTCTGTTGGTGCTGATAGATGGCATGTCTGTTGGTGCTGATAGATGGCATGTCTGTTGGTGCTGATGGCATGTCTGTTGGTGCTGATAGATGGCATGTCTGTTGGTGCTGATAGATGGCATGTCTGTTGGTGTTGATGGCATGTCTGTTGGTGCTGATAGATGGCATGTCTGTTGGTGCTGATAGATGGCATGTCTGTTGGTGCTGATAGATGGCATGTCTGTTGGTGCTGATAGATGGCATGTCTGTTGGTGCTGATAGATGGCATGTCTGTTGGTGCTGATGGCATGTCTGTTGGTGCTGATAGATGGCATGTCTGTTGGTGCTGATAGATGGAATGTCTGTTGGTGCTGATGGCATGTCTGTTGGTGCTGATAGATGGCATGTCTGTTGGTGCTGATAGATGGAATGTCTGTTGGTGCTGATGGCATGTCTGTTGGTGCTGATGGCATGTCTGTTGGTGCTGATGTCATGTC